ACCCACCCGCCGCCTGCGACGCGGAGGGAGTGGCTGCCGAAATATTTCAGGGCTGCGCTAAGCAACTAAAAATACGCGTCAAACCCTCCTCCTCCTCCTCTTTCCTTTTTAAATGTGTTTTCTTTCTTTCTTTTTTTCCTTTTTTTTTTTTAATGTGTGCAGAAGATATAGTCTGTGTATTAAATGGTTTCACAAGAAGAAAATTACAGAGACAGGAATAAATGCCCTGGGATTTATGCAGCCAGCACACAGTCAGTGGCCAGGTTGTTGTATGCATTCATGAAATGGTCTCTAACGTCTGACTGGAAAGCACTGCAGTATTCAGTGGGGTATACTGAAAGGCAGCCAACATGGCAAGCATCTTGGGTGCTTCTACGACAATAATTAGCTTTATTGAACTTTAACTAGTGATGTCAAAATATTTTTAGCTTGTAGTCATGAAATGGGCAACTGTTGGGGCCAGGGAAACGGGGAGAGCAGGAGCCGCGGGGGGACCCACCGCGCTCGGAGGCGCCAAGGATGCTCCGGAGAACGTGGCCCTGCTCGAGGCACGCTGTGCCTCGCCGATGTCTGGTGGCGTGGGTTCATCCGAAATCCTTTCCCCCTGCTCCAGGGTAAATATAGCCCCGCTGGCAGGTGGCAAGGCGCAGCGTGACTCAGTGGGTGCTCGCGGGGCCGAGCCGGGCTCCTGTGCCTCCGGGAATAGCAGCTTCGGCCACCAGCCCCCAGCCGAGGTGACAGTGGCACTGCCACCGGCTCTGAGGATGGGGACAGCCCTGCTCCTGCTCCCCACGGGTCTGCCCTTCTGGGAGGCGGAAGGGGACGCTGAATCATGACCCTCATTAAACGCTCATTAGGAAAATTAAGCTGCCGTCTTGCCGCAGGCTTCGGGCTGCCACCAGCAAGACAACCTGCGGTGTCCCCGGTTTGGGGACAAGGGACGCACGGGATGAGCGCCACTGGTGACAGGGCGGGAGCATGTGAGGGGACACAGCAGGACAAGCCCTGGGGTGCTGCAACCCTTGGGGAGGGACGCCGGGGGG